GAGATTACCAAAAGTCACCTAAATAACCGCATTTATTGTGGTGTGAAAACAAGCACGGTGACCCCCTCTTTTTATTACCTTTTTAATATTTCCTTGACCTGTAACAACTACATACCAGGTTTCAACGGAATCTATGGCGGGTTCTTTTACTAGGAAATCACCTTATAAATTGATAAGAATTTGTATCACGCCTTGCTCTAAAAAGTTAAAAGTGTATCGACCGTTTAAAATGTACGCTGATTTCATCGTTTTGACCTAGCTTGGTGGATAAATGCTTCCTTTGGAAAAATAGTAGCTTACTTGAAAGAACTCGTGCCCGTATTATAATCCCAGCCCATCTGTAAACGGAGATACTGGGATCACTTCACTGACACATCTCTCCGAACACACTTTTTTGTAAAGAAAGCTGAAGAAACGCTGCAAATTTGGCGCTCCTGTTTTACCTCGTTCCAGGCCTCCGTTGAAGCAATCAACGAGCGAACTCGAGCGAGCGAGCTCGAGAAGTCAGTTCCAAGGACCTATCCAAGGGTCGTTCCAAGGGCGTTCCAAGGACTAACTGTCGGACTAATTGAGCTCATGAGCGGTCGGCAGCACCTTTGTGCTGCCATCCTCCATATGATGCAATCGCAGGGCTTACTGTAGTTTGCGAACCGAAACGCAAATGCTTAACTACTGAACAGGCAACAAAGAATTGCCCAACCGGGCTGTGTAGCCTGCGGCCGGTGCAGCTGGACGCTTCACAAAATCTTCGATGTAGGCTCAGTACCGGCATTGTAGAATGCCTGGGACGCAGGCCAAACATTGTGTACATGGAGAACGAATGATCATCTTGCTGACTTCAGAGGTATAGGTAATATACACAGTTAACAGACACTGAATCACACTGAATGGCCGCAATACTGAAACATACGCTTTATCACGCTATTATCTAATGAACGCCAAAAGTGGAGAAACCAAAAAACATCGGCCTGAAAGGAAAATATAATTTTGTCTGAAGGNATTAATGACTTGTTCCTTGGTTATTTGTCCCATTACGGCATGCCTGGTAGAATACAGCCGGCCAGGGACAATACAGCCGATCAGGAATTAATCAAGAAAACCGTTGCGTTCAATGGACCTTTTTGACGATGCGATACAATACCAACAGGCATAAACATATAACCACCTCAAACCGATTAACGAAATAAACCCGTGAACACTGAGGCTCTAGCTGGAAGGGTCTGACTGCGGCTTGAAAAGCCAACAAAGAACTGGCTGAGAGTGAAGTGGCCGAGGGGAAATGTCACCAGGCATAAACATAAAGCCACCTCCATAGACCAGTTTATCCTAATAAACAATTAAACCGATTTAGTTTCATAGGAATCTGTTGGCTGGTTGCAAACGCATGAAATGTGGGACCCAAACTTGCCAATTATAACAAAGAAATGTATGACATGGGGAAGCGCTTGAGGACTTATACAACAATGTTGACCGCATACAAGTAACTTCCTCCTAGTCATGATAGGTCATGATATCCTCCAGTCTTGTTTTCATTCAGTCCCTCATGGATAACGAATAGGATGCACAATCTTTAATTTGAGAAAGTTTTTGAGAAAATTCATTTTAAATCCACATTCTACTCGACAATGCAAAGTAAGCATGATATGATTGGAAAGAAGTCAATTCTATCAAGCTACAGCAGAGCGCACAGCCACTGTGATGGCAGGTCACCAGCAGTAACCCAAAATAGTCTCTTTAATCAGAATCAAAACAATTTCTCTTTGACATTTGCATGAAGCTTATATTTGTGAATAAAATTGTTTTGATAAGCGTTTTTGGTCCAGGGTTGTACAAAAACTGTTTGAGTCACTCATGGTTTGATACAAGATCACGATGCCGTGACAAAATTTGATCCAAATTTGTAATGTTATTAATATCCAGAAGTGACGTCATATGAACAGACAATCAACAGCACCCAGTTCTTTATTGATCAGCAACATGGATGTTGAACAACTGTTTACAAATCTCAGGAAAGA